ACATGCGAGTCTAGAGGCTGAGGCTCTAAGGGCAGCGTCACTCAAAGTCAATGAATCACTACAATGAAATGGCTATGAGGGGGTGAGCAACGGCTACAAGAGCAAGAAACCATGAGAGAAGTCAAAGAGAGCCCAAAGAGAGAGCAAAGATTCACTGGGGGGTAGGAGTCCTGCCAGGGCCCAGCACTCCACCTTGCCAGCATGTGGGCTTGCCCCACAATAATTGCCAGAGACAGAGCATTAAAACCTGTAAATGTCACTGAGAGTCCCAGGACTCTCCTTTATCCATCTGCCTGAAACAATAGAAAAATCTGCCCTGTGCTTGCTGGCACTATAACCATGCCCTCCCTCTTCACCTTTTCCACCTACCCAAACTTTCCCCCATTCAATTTATTGGAATAACCTTTCCAAAGCCTCCATCTGCATATACAGACATTCCTTCTGAAGCCTTAGATGGCACGTGCCTACGGCAAAGCCCTATATTCTCTAGATTTGAGAAGACATTCTAGACCTGATGCCTGTTCACCTTTCCAATGTCTTCATTCACATTTGTGTTCAGCCATATTGAAATATTCCCAGTTCCCAAGTGCACAGTTTACCCTATTTAATGCTCTGTTTTGTTTTGTGTTCATGATTCCCTTCAACCTTAGTTGCTTTTCCTCCACTCTCATCTATCTGAAAAATTCCTGTTTGTCTTTTAAAATTCAGCTCCAGAGTCTTTGATGTCTCAAATTTTCTCAGAAATTAACTTTATCTAACAGTACCACCTTCCTTATTGTACATCTTACACCACATAGCAAATTGTTAGAATAATTTGTTTCCTCTTCTAGACCATGAGATTCTCAGGCAAAGACTATGTCATAATTATCTTTGGATCTTGAGATCTCACAGAGTGTCTGACAAATTGTAACTCATTTATAAATATGCCTTCAGTAAATGAATGAATGGACCGATTCTCATAAGTGAGAACAAACACCCTGTATAATTTTGTGGGACTGAGCTCTAGTCAAGGAAACATATGACAGCCTTCATCACTCATTTATGGATGCTAGTTGTTATTTTTTCTCTTTAGATATTTATGGAATCGTCTAGTAAAAGCTAAGATTGTAAGCATCTCATCCACATGTAGGGGCAACAGAAGCTCACCAAATTTGACCTGTTGGTGAGTCATTCACCTTGTGACATTAATATTATCATACTTCTTATAACTTTGGGCACCTGTTTATATGCAGAAACTCATGAAAAGCATATCTTCTTGTCAATATCAGAAGTAACATTGCTCCATGAAAGCACTTCCTCCTTTCCCATGAAAGGTTTGCTTTTCTCTCTTTTTAAGCAAAGAGAAATTAGCCAAGCTTTAGTATCTCATTCGTAGTGCTTTTTCTTGCCTAGATTCATGATCTTTATTTGTTCATGAGTCCCTTTATTGAATCCATGGAAATTGTAAACTAATATGTCCTCCAATTTTTACTATTATGGCTATAACCAATTGATAACAAATAAGTAATTTCAATTTTTATTTAACAATACTCCTTCCCAGGAAACTCTGGGGATGAAGTCAGAAGTGTGTTAGTTTTCTTTTGTTATTTATAATTATACTCCATACTTTCTATTATGTCACATCATTGAGTTTTTTCTTCTCCTCAAAAAATACACATATAACTTATCAATGAGAATACTTATTGTGTAGTTAATGATATTTCTTTATGAGTTAATTAACAAAGAATAATGATCAATAGACCAAAATGTAGCATCATTGCAGTCTGCCTCTCTTTCAATTTCTATTTCAAAAGACTTTACTTTAAAATGCATGGTTCTGGATATAATAAATATAAATTAGTTTCTCTGTTTAAAATAATTAATCTCTGAAACTAATGCAATGTGAATTTCACTGTTCTTTGAATCAGCTTGGGAAAATATAATTGAAAGTCCATTTCATGGAAAGAAAATTTGGGTTTTATTTTTCTTTTCTCTTTTTTCCTGCTTTATTCATTTGTTCAGTAAGTAGTAACTGAACATACCATTTGTTGATTGAATTTTACTAGGCACTATGAAGAATTTAAACTATTTGAAGGTATGGCCCTCAAAAATCTCAAGACAGACACACAATAAGTTAACCAAAAAAAGATGTCACAAGTACAGCCAGCGAGTACTGCAAGTTCAGAAGCCTGTTTCTGCCTCCCTGACATTTTCAATCAGAGCTTTCCAGCTTGCCGTCTTTGTGATTTATTTTTAATGGCTCTTTTTATCTATTTCCACATATAGAGAGATGCATGAATATATCCCTGGTTTTACCCCCTATTTCTCTATTGCTTCAACTGCTTCTGAGCTTTTGAGATGAAAATTGGAAGCTATGTCCAGACTACTTTGTGTATGTCAGATTATTATCTACCCACTTCATTTGGAGTAAAGGAAATGGGGCTATGTGAATTAGGAAGGGGTATTTCTCTCCAAATCTTTACATATATATATATATATATATATATATATATATATATATATATATTACCATGTTCCACAGTGAATTACTACCAAATAGCAAACTTCACTAATAACCTTTCCTTGCCAATGTTTTACTTAGACCTGACCTGCTATGTTATTGCCCATTGTGAACGGAAACAGTCTTCCTTAACTCCTGTAAGACAAGACTGCCTATGCCTCTCTTTCCCTTCCTGGCAATAGGCCAATAATCTTTAAGTGGTGAGGCTGTTTGAGCGGTTTGACCTATATCTCATTGGTTTTCAATGTTATTTTGTTTTCTTTTATGGTCCAGCAAGTCATTTTGTACACAGTCCAATTACCTGTTGAGCACCAGCCTTCTACAGATGTACCCCAGGCAAATAACCTTTCTCATTTTCACCCTTGCTTCTGACTCTGTGACTATAATCTCCTTGTATTAAGCTTTTGTGTCTCCCCCGGTAAAGTATAAGCCCCTTGGGAACAGGATCAGTTACTTGATCCGCTGTTGTATACCTGGAGCTTAGGTTGGTTCTTGAAGTATAGAAACCAATCAGTAAAGATTTGTTGTGAATAGTCAGCATTGAGAAAAAAGCATAGTAATCTACAGAGGTTCAGAAGAAAAATAACTTTCCTTTCCTCATAGTGAAGGAAGCATTCAGGGGAAGATAAACTTAAACTAACACCTGAAGATAACTGCAAGCTAGCAATGCCTAGGGAAAGAGCAATTCAGATCAATAAAATAAATGAACAGCCAGGACAAAGATCCATATTTGAGAAAGAGTAGGGACCATTGAAAGATAGTAAAAATGATAATGTTGTCAGCCCTCGCTGGTGGCACAGTGGGTTAAAGCACAGCACTAAGAAGCTAAAGCCACTTCCGCATGAGTTCAATCCATACCTGCTCCAGAGGTGACCACATGGCCCGGCAGACCTCTTCTGATGATCCTGCTGCTCCTGTCAGCAGTGTACTTCATCAATCAGCCTGTTCTGCTCCCCAATCTGTCCCTGGTGAAGCCTCTCACCACCCCTGCACCTCTGGCCTATACCCAGTTCTGTGTGCCCAAATATTTAAAAAAAAAAAAAAAAAGATAATGTTGTCTTATGTTTACCATGTCTGAGAATTAGTACTATGTGTGTCTGCCTGTGTGTTAGAGAAGTTTTAGTTTTTCAAAGTTTAACTAGATATAATAAAAATTAAACCCATCAGCATATAAAACCCCTAATATTTAGCCCAGAGCCTTCTATTTGGGCTCTATCTAGCAAAACAATTCCATTTACATTCTCATTATTTTCTTTGTCCTCAAATCAATGCTAATTTAAAAAAAAAGATTTTATTATTTATTTATGCATACAGAGCTGAGGTACAGGCCAGAGATGCAGAGGGTGAGAGGATTCACCAGAGACAGAGTGGGGAGCAGAACAGGCAGATCTACGAAGTATACTGCTGAGGGGAGCAGTGGGCGGGCCAGGAGAGGTCTGCCACGCCATGTGCATCTCCTCCGGGGCAGGCGGGATCGAACTCATGAGGAAGTGGCTTAAGTTTCTCAGTGCTGTACTTTAACCCGCTGCGCCACCAGGGAGGGCCCCTTTTTTTTATAAGGAATTATTTATTTATGCTTACAGTACTGTGGTACAGGCCACAGATATGGTGGGAGACACAGACACAGTGAAGAGCAGAACAGGTAGACTAACAAAGTACACTGCTGAGGGGAGCAGCAGGCGGGTCAGAGAGGTCTACAGCACCATGTAGGTCACCTCCCTAGCAGGGGATCAAACTCGTGCTGCAGTGGCTTCAGAGAACTTCATAATGTGCTTTAACCCATAGTGCTACCAGGGAGAGCCCCTAATGCTAATTTCTTATATCTTATTTTTATCCACTGTTTTAACTGACGGCATTTTCATAGTATTTTTTTACAATTTTACTTCAGATAATAGTATGTTTTGAGAAATGTGAATCTAGCCACCTTGCATAAAATTATTATGTCTAGAAAAACTGTTGTAGTTTTCAAACAGTCAACTTAGAAATGAGTATTTAGAAAATGACCTGCTTCTAAATTGAAGCTTCAGGTGCACAGGGGGCAAGACATGGCAGAATGTAATGGAAGGCTTCCTGGAATCCAGCTGTCTATGCCATGCACTTGCTCAGTTCATGGGACTTTCCACCTCATCATTTATCGAATGGGCTCTGTAATATCCTCTGTAGTTTTCATGGTATTCCCAAAGTTGAAAGAAAAACTATATGTGAACTGATTCACTAATAAATGGAAGATGGTTCTATTCTGTTATAACACAAGGTCATCTGCTATTATAGTTTTATGTTAGAAAAGAAGAATTCTATACCCCCTCCAACAACTACATCTTTATATAAGAATGTATGTCCAGCAATTTAAGTGGTGAATGTAAAGCTCTACTTAAATATTAATTTTTAAATAGCTTTTCTCTATGTGTTTTAACTTCATTCAGCAAGTGTGTTTACAGAGAATTGGTATTTTGCCACATTAGTGAGAGGATAATACAGATGTAATCATTTTGTCTCATAGAATGATTGAAGATAGTGGGAAAAGAGGAAATACCATGGCAGAAAGAAGACAGCTGTTTGCAGAAATGAGTAAGTATGGATTTTTAAAGGAAGTTTCCATTGAATACTAATAGAAAAGTTAGAAGTAACCATATAATAGTATGGCATATGTACTTTTCCTTAAACATCAAATTATTTTCATTTAGGCATTTGTTCTCCTACTAGTTAAGAGTTAAATTCTCCTAGGAATTGTTATAATTTGTTGTAAGACTGTATATTTTATATGTTCCTTTCCCTGCACTACTATAGTATTAGGAACATTGGAGACAATGGATAAAATTTATTAAATGAAACATTATCATATCTGCAAAGTAATACCATATAGTCTACCTGTTACTATATCAAGCCATAAACTGTCTTGGATGTTAAGCAGAAGTCCTACAAACCAGTTTCTAAATACCTATAATTTTTTTTTTAAATGAAAGTTGAAAAGAGCTTGGAGGTGAAACACTTGCCAAGGAAAACCAAACCAAGACTGTTTACTGATTCCAGTGGAGAACCCATTACGTAAAGGTTATTGATTTATGTAAATACATGGTTGATTTATAAGTAATTGGTTGGTATTTTCTGCCATGTAGACCATTTTTTCACTCATAAGGTAGAAGAGCCTCACACTAGCAGAGAAACACATATATCAAATTAAATGTTATAAGGAAAAAAGTATAATTTTTTATTGTCTTTTTTCTCAGCTTCTCTTGTAAGAAATAAGGATGAACAGAAGTGAGCTGTAAGCCTTTTTTCCTAGAAGGAAGTAGACAAAATTAGGTTTCTACTGAAGATTGGAACTGATTGGCAAGAATAAGATAAAGAAAAATCCCAGATAATAAGATTCATATTTTCCTTTATCATCTCACAGTAATCTGAAGGCACAAAGACAGCATTAGAACTAACAAATCAGAAAGAAAATTAAAATTGATGTGAAGAATCTCAATCATGCTCCCTGCTTTTTCTACTTTTAGGGACATGTTAAGTGCCTGTAGGGCTTTACCTGTAACTTCCAATTTCCTAGGCTATGTTTGACACTTTCAACTTCTGGCATGGCTGATCACCTGGAATTATGACCCAGGATGCAAATCTCACAGAGCAGATAGTCTATTCCTGCCTGCTCATCTAAATAGAATCTAAAGTCACACAGATATCCTCCCATATCACAGTTCTTAGAAGAAAAAGGCCACATAGATTATGGGTCAGAATTTTGTCAAAGAAAAAGAATACTGGTATTTAACATAGAAAATTAATAGAATCTTGAAGCAAAGCTCTGATTTTATCATTGTTCCATTAAAGACTGTACCATCCAAAACACACTGTAAGGGTTATGAAAGTATGTTTATTTAATAAATAACTATTTACCTATAAGTATATTATCTCAGCCTCTTTCTGTACTTGGTACAAAACAAACAAAAGCATGATGTTAAATGCCTTAAAGTTCTCTAATTTCAAGAAGTAGCAACATCATTTTTAGCCAAGGAAACATATCTCTAAATTTTTCAAATGAAAGAAACAGGAAAACTGCTCAATTTCCCTAATGTAAATTGTCCTTTCAGAAAAACTTCCAGAATATCATATACTTTATTAAATCATTTTATTATTTTGCCTGATAAATATATTTCTTCCTTGGTTATGCTAAATAATAGACTTAGCTGTTGACCAAGACAGGTAAACACATCTGGTCATAATAAGCCATTACTAAGCATCATATTTTGATCCTTACTGTGTCCACAGTAAGTGGTACTCTGGTTAGTTTTAAAGGGAAGAACTGATTTTGATAGATAGACTGTGGTGCAAAAGAGAAAGGTTATCTCACTGAGAATGTGTTAATAGTTAAAAGGATAGGTTATCTCCACTCCATCAGCTGGATGCCCAAAAAAGGCAATAAAACATTATCAGGAGATGACTTTTAGTCATGGAAGTAACATCTTCTAGAAATCTGGAATATCTGGACAGTGGATTAAAATGAAGCAAGAACTTGTAAGTCTGATTAGCTAAATATTAACTAGAAATTTTTTCAAGAAACAACAAAAAAAGTACCCCCAAAGTGATTTGTTTTGGCTATACTAGATGTCAGAAAATGCATGTGAAGGAGTTAGGAAGACAAGAAAAACTTTAATTAAGACTACTACAAAAGGGAGAAAGATTGACCTCAATTCCCAAGATAGATTTTAACCAGGGTCTGAGCGAGGAAGGTGGCCCATTGTGGGTTTGCTAACAGCCAAAGTTGGGAAAGTAAGCCCCTGCCTTCTCACAGAGACTAGAGACCTTCTTCAAGAATTACTTTTTAAAGTAACGGTTCCCAGACTCTTGAAAAAAAAAGTTTCTGGCAAGAAGGGAAATGTATATTGCAAAGAAACAAAAAAGAACTATAAAATAGAAAGTTTTCTAACATAAAAGGGAAATCTGAGACCTAAAGTGAGGAAGGACCCTAAAATTTAATTAAACTGAGAGGTACATTAGGGCTATCTTAGCTTTACAAAGACCAAAAAAAAAAACAGAGAATAAAACAAAACTGATATGAATAACAATTGATGAGAAGTTTTGGTGAATTCAGGTGATTGCAACAAGTTAAATACCTACTCTGAGGTCATTACTACAAGCAACAAAAGTAGAAACAGAGAAAAAAAAAGAAAAGAGGCTGAAAGTAGAATACTAACATGGACACAAAATTAAAAAAAAAAAAAAGATTAGCCATAGGTAGGTAGGTAGGTAAACAGGTAGGATGACCAACTACTTTAATGAAAAAGTCCCCTTTAATCAAAAAAGTATCTTCAATATAATACCCTAAGTACCAATTTATGTAATATCATAGATTAAAACTAAAAAGGCTAGTTGTAAATGTCACTCTCACCTTGGCCTTTTCAGCCATCAAATAAGTTATCAGTGCAAACAAGTTTATCGGACTAACTTTCCACAGAATAAATTGTCTGTCCTTAGGACTAACCTCTCCTCGGTTTCTCTACCCAGAGCACATTTACTGTGCCTTGTATAACATTCACTGTGAACATGTCCATGTCCTTCACTCTCATGAGCTCCTCCCTTAGGAGTAGATTCTGGGTCTTTACCTTAAATACATTCACCTTAGATACTGAATCAATGTTGGCTTAAAAGCCTACAAGGCACAGAATAGATAGGTTTTAATAAGAGCAAAATTATTGAAAAGCACTTTCAAAACAAGGGTGACTGCCTAGAAAGCTAAGGAAGGCCTTGGGGAGAAAAGAGAATGATACCATGAACCTGTGAGCTCAGGAGAAACCTGAAATCAAAGGGAGGCAAATGTAAGTGCTCAGCCAAAGTTGCTGAGCCATTTGAAGGCAGACAGTCTTTCAGAATGCTGACTTCAGTAAGTATTTGCATAGTTGGAATAAAATTAAAAGCATGTTTTTGCAATGTACATTATGAATTTTAGGAAAGCTCTGATTCAGAAAAACACGTGAATGATCCTACTATCATGAAGACTAGTTAAATTATATCAACATCTAGTCTGGTTTCCTTCTTCTTAATTCTCCCTCTCTCTCTCTCTCCATTCTTTTCACACATACACCTCTGCCTAGATATCCCATATTTCTAGGAGATAATACTTCCACAACTTAAAGTCAGTCTTTCCTGATAATGTTTTATTGCCTTTGCATCACACATAGGAAAGAAAATTCAGACGCAGGATCATAGACTCAAGTGGGCCTTTATTATTCATACAAAATCATATTGAATGATTTTAAATGAATAATATATTTAAGGATCTAAATGGCTACATAAAGATTTCATAATAAGTTATCAAAAATAAAAATCAAAATACACATGAAATGTATGAAAGTGTTCAGAGAGTAATGAAGCTAAAATCAAAAATTAGGTAGGGCTGGTTATTTGCTTAGTTGATCAGATAGATGGATGAATCTATTATTTAGGTGACATCATTTAAAATATACTATCTTACATTTTAAATAACTATATCCCAATTATAAAATAATAATAAGACACTATTCAAGATTTGAGAAATTTTGAAAAAAAATGAAGACTGCCAAAAATTGTCATTATCAAAAAGGGGAAGATAGGAATTTTTGAGAGTTCAGTGTATAAAGTTGATGCTGGTTGCAAGATAAACATGTTTTTCAGATCATGTACAAAATGTAGCAACCTTAAACATTCCAACATGTTAATAATAAGTACTTTTCTAATGAATTCATTTTCTTACTCATTTATTCAATTCTATCTTTTTATGAAGGAATTAAGTTAGCTAATTTCTCTCTTTAATAAGGCTATTAGACTGCTAGTTCAGGAAAATATCACAAGGTAAAAATGATCCTTAACTTCAACAAGATACTGACAACATCTCCTAGATTGTACATGTGTTGGAAAATATAGGCTGGATCACCATACAATTAGGTTTGATTTATTGGTAGTGTTATGAGTATGTCTGGAAAGATAAGTAATGCATCAATCAACTTAGAGAACATCTCTAATAGACTGGAAGACTGTTCCCAAGGACCCTCTTCGGATCCTTGATTTTATGCAATGACTTGGACACAAGACATGCAACTGCTTCCAACGTAGGCTATGAATGTATAGACTTTCACAAAGAGATCCAGCATATAAAGCTGAATTAAGTTCATGGCTTACTTGGGTAGAAAGTAAATTTACTTTAAACAAGATGATAAACAGAACAAGTCTTCACAGCATGTTTCAACTCAGTTTTTTTTTTTGGACTCAAAACCCCTTGTGAATTATGGAGCCTGCAACTGGCACATACATTGTCTGTGTAGAGTATTTTGCTTCTAGATCTGAAAAACTAAATTTTATTGCCCACAAAATCCTTTTCTTTTATGAATTATTTATTTATGCATACAAGAACAGGGATGTAGGCCAGAGGTTGGGGATGAGAAGATTCCCAGAGACAAAGTAGGAAGCAAAACAGGCAGATGTACTGAAATACACTGCTGAGGGGAGCAGCAGGTGAGACAGGAGAGGTATGCTGCACATGTGGGTCACCTCTCTGGCCAGCCAGGTGTCAAACTCATGCTGCAGTGGCTGGCCACAGCTTGATAGCAATGGCTTTAACCCCAATGCCACCAGGGAGGCCCCAAATCCTTTTTAATACTTGGGGCTTACCTTGTCACTATGAAGAACTTACATAAATAGAGAGCACTGATAGAACTTCCAGACCCTTTCTTGATTCTTAAACAAAACAGAGGGTCAATTAAGTCTACATTGTGATAAGGCATTCGTAGCTACCCATGTGTTCTTGTCCCTAAGCTTCATCTCTGTGGCCCTCTTTCCTATGTACTGGATAGCTGCACCTTTGTCTTCAATATCTTCCTTTAAAATGGTAATTCATGAGTCCCTCCCTGGTGGTGCAGCGGTTAAAGCACAGCACTAAGAAGCTAAAGTCACTTCCACATGAGTTCAATTCCCGCCTGCCCCAGAGGTGACCACATGGCCTGGCAGACCTCTTCTGACCCGTCTGCTGCTCCCCTCAGCAGTGTCTTCGTTGATCTGCCTGTTCTGCTCCCCACTCTGTCTCTGGTGAAGCCTCTCGCCACCCCTGAGCCACCCCCGAGCCTCTGGCCTATACCCAAGTTCTGTATGCACAAATAAATCTTAAAAAAAATGGTAATTCATGAAATATGAGACTTCTGATTGTTGAGCCAAACTGAGCATTCATAAAAACAGTTCTAAGGGGAAAGGCAGACTTAGCATCCAGCGACTGATAGTCTGTCTCAGGTTTGAGATATCCTAGAGAGTTCATTTCCCACTTGAGCCTCTCAGAATTACACTGGACATGAACAGGGAAAGCCAACATCAATTTTTTTTTTAAGATCTAGAATGTCTTTTTAATTAATTAATTTATTTAGACATACAGAACTGAGGTACAGGTCAGAGGTGCAGGAGTGGTGAGAAGATTCACCAGAGACAGAGTGGGGAGCAGAACAGGTAAATCAACAAAGTACACTGCTGAGGGGAGCAGTAGGTGGGTCAGGAGAGGTCTGCCATGCCATATGGGTCACCTCTGGGGCTGGGGATCGAACTGGCACTGAAGTGGCTGTGGCTGACTTGCAGTGCTGTGTCCTAACCCATTGCACCACCCGGGAGGGCTCCAATATCACTTTTTTTAAAGGTATCAAAAAGGTTAAAAGAGCAAGTTAAAATTTAAAAGAAAGAAACCAAACAGTTAAATATGAAGTCCTACCTATAGCCCCCAAATAAGCAATTAAGTAGAAACTTTTAAAAATGTTACTTAAATATGGTACACATGATTTTTTAAAGCTAACTTTTTAATGAAGTACAGGCTTAATAAAATTCTGAAGGATGAACTACTTAAAATTTTTAAAACACATCAGTAAGTATTCTTATAAGGTAGTAATAATTGTTTCTATATTTTCTATACAGGCAAAGCAATAGCTGTGGTATTTAACTCATCATTGTATATCACATGATAAGGCAATATTAGCCAGCCATAAAAGAGCGTGATGATTAAAGGTCAAAAAAACATATCTAATGAAAATGAGAATAATATGAACAACTTTCTACCTATGGAACACCCTCTTGGCAGCTGAGCCATCTGGTAGACCCTGTACTAGAGATGACTGTGGAGTTGACGTCTCCAACCTGAACATGTCAAAGGAAAGCTACCTCCCTAGCTAAATTTTGAATTTTATGTTGATAGGGACTTTTGTATATCATCTTCAAGTGGTAATAGAGATGCTACTAAAAATACTGAGAGCTGCATCTCAATGTTTGAGAAATAAATTATCAAGTTACAGGAAGAAAATTTTGTATGACTCCAGGAGGGAAAAGAGAACAAGTGGCAAGTGGATTGACATTTCAAGGAGGCAAATTAAAGCACTTTGTCTCTCTCTCTCTCTCTCTCTCTCTCTCTCTCTCTCTCTCTCTCTCTCTCTCTCTCTCTCTCTCTC